CCAGTCTCCATGAAGGCAGAAGGTATGGCATATTTGTTATGTAGCCAAGCTTCCTTATGCCTACCTGTAGAATGTGCTGTAGTTCAGCAGGCCTGGCAGAATCTTTGCCCTGTGCACGGATGGGAAGCGCTAGGCATTGGGCAACCCGGGAGCAGAGGCCTAGAGGGCCCCAGATCTCAAGAAACTTGCTTCCTGGCTGTGCAGATGTGGAGGCTCCTGTGAGGCAATCAGAAGGTCCCAGATAGGAGTGTACAGAATAGTGCTAGACTGAACGGCGGGAGACAGCACCCCACTAGCTCCGGATGCATTCGTGCAAATCAGAAAAAAGCTGCCCCTCCTCAAGACACCTTTCTGCCATCTGTCCAAAGGATGTCATAAGCAATACACATATCTAGGGTATCGGTCATGTGAGTGGCACCACCTGGGGATGTACAGTGCACAGCCTGCTTCTTGGAGCCGGTCTCCTAGTGACCCCAAGTGACCCCGGACCAAGGGGAAGAGCCCCGAGGAGCTCACCCTGCAAGACTGTTGAGGAGGGTGGGTCTGTTTTATTTCACAGACCTTCTTCTCATGCTGTTTGGGTGGCGCCAGCTGTCAGCAGCTTGGGCTGGGTGGGCCGTGCCATCCTGCTCCCTGGGTCACTGCCATTTGCCAGGGTAAACAGTCCCGAGTGACTGTGGCTCTCACAGCATGCGATCCCCAAGGAGCCTCCCACTGGGCCCATGGGGAGGCGGGGGTGGTGTCTAGACCCACAATCAAAGTTGTCACCATTCAGGTATTTCCTCACTCTCTTCTTTCGCTCTCTCTTCCTCTCCACCCCTCCCTTTTTTTTAAACTGGGGGAGGGGAGAGGGAAGAGACTGTCTTTGATCTCAGCGGAGGAAAAAAGTCTGTTCTGTTCAGGCTTTTGGCTAACACAACAAACAGTGTTTAAAATTTAACTTTGCTTAATTAATTAGTAATTCTGTTTAATGCTGTCTGATCTCCCTCCAAAAGGTATTTTGAAGCTTGAGAAGGGAACATCAAAGGGAGCCGGGTGAAGATGGTCAAGTAATGCATTTAATCTGGCAGTTGCTGAGGGTGGAGAGCTGCCAGGCTGGGAGCTAATGGGGAGAGAACCGTCATTTGGTAAACACAGCAAGCCGACTCCTCGTGGCTATGGTGTGAGGAGGGACAGGGAGCAGCTTCCAAAGAGAAGGAGCTCTTCAAACCAGTACCACTCCCCCAGATTCATATGAGCTGACAATAGGCTTTAAGAAAGCAGAGTTGACATTTTCTTTCTTCCATGGCCACTGTATGGTTGGGCAGGTTGTGTACTGCACAAGGGTTTCCAACCAAGCAGGCAAGTTACAGGTGAAATTGTCTGTGCCCTGCTCCTCAAGCACATATCCTGTGCTTAGAAGTGGAGGGTAGCACACATCTAAAGCAGCAATCGATCCACAGACTTTTTCCTGAAGGGCCAAGATAGTATGTATTTCAGACTTTGTGGGCTCTGTTGCAACAGTTCAACTCTGCTGTCATAGAGTGAAAGAAGCCATGGACAATGCAAATAAGCATGGCCGTGTCCCAATAAAACTTTATTTACAGAAACAGGAGGTGGGCCAGGTTTGGCTCAGCAAATGCACTTTGCCACTTCCTGCTCTAAGTCACCCAAAAGTGCTTCTTAGGCAAGTGAAAGGCCTTTTTTCCCACCTGGTCCTCTGCTTTCCCTTTTTCTTCCAAATGAGCAGTGTCTCCTGCAGTTCCTCAGACTTTCAGTTGAAGAGTGATCAGCATGATCGGTACTCCCTGATATTTAGGCCCCCAAAAGATAATTTCCCAAGGGGAAAAATGGCTGCGCTAAACCAGAATCAGAGGCAGAGAATGGACTCAGACTCTGGTGCCAAAGCTGATCTCAACAGAAATACATCATTGCAATCCCCCTTGGCATGACCTGGGCGGCCTGCAGCGAGCACCAGTCCCCCTCTCCTGCTTCCCATGAGCCTGCGCTCACTGATGGGTGGAGGGTGGTTTCTTCTGCACGGGGCTGACTGGGGGCCTTGGTGGCTTGACTTAGTTTAGTTTCAGAGGGCTCATATGTGGATGAGGCCTGGCCCCTGCCCCAGCATTGGGGTCTGCATGGCCAGTTCTCTGCCACCTCGTCTGGCTACTGGGCAGGGGACAATAGGAGGGTGAATGACCTTTGGTGGAGATAGAGTGCTGACTATCCTTGTTCCTGACCCCCACAGTCCCAGGGCAGGATGGATCACAGGCCCCATGCTGGGAGGGGCCCCTGGCGGGTTCAGCTGACCTGTGGATGTCTGGGTGGCTTTCTGAGCTGGGATGGGATGAGGGAGCCACTGGTGAAGAGAGGACAATCTGGACCACCGTAGTCTTTGGGGAAGACATATGAGGGGTCGAGGGGGATGTTTTCCAGCCCCTTCAGGTGAGGAGAAAGGAAGGAAGAGGGGAGGTCCTGAGGGAAGACAGGCTGTCCGTGCGTGGTGGAGGAAGAGTGCTCCAGAGGAGGAGAGAGCAGGGACAGAGGTTCCTTTTCTTTGGATTTTATCAAGTGGAACATGAAAGGCAACATTGAACCTGAAGGTGGTTTTCTGATAACTTCCCTTTGAACTTGAAGTTTGGTTTCGACAAGCCTGGCCAGCTTGCATCTCCAGCCAGGACCTCTGCAGAGAGAGGCAGCAGCTTTGAAGATGGATCTGGGCTTTGTTTTTCTTTCTTCTTTTTCTTTCTCTTCTTTCCCCCTGCCTGGGAGGGGTGAGTAGAGGATGCTGCAGGCCGTGATATTACTCTGGTTTCTCCAGTGGGGCAGTTTGGGGTCAAGCGGGATCGTTGGGATCTGGGCTGTCAGCTGGGACCACAGCCCGTCTATATCCTTGGCAAAGCCAGCATTTATCGAGCACCTACTGAGTGCCGGCCACTGTGCTCTGTAAGCCCTTTCCTCATTGCCCTTTCCCAATAGCCCTGTGAAGGTGAGGCCGTCGTGTTCCCATTTTACAGACGAGGGGACTGAGGTCCAGAGGAGTCAAGGGCCTTGTCCAAAGCTGCCTACACAGGCTGTGTATATTTGATATAATGCTTTTGTGTCCATTTGCATTCCTGAAGCCTCCGTTTTGAGAAAACTTAGCTGCTAACTGTCCTGTTCCCAGGAGTCAGTGGGGTGGGGTCATCGGTCCCCACAGCTGGGGAATTGAGACGTCTGAAGAAGGTATGTGACCCACCCAGGGTCACACAGTGCCAGAGAACAGAACCCAGGTGGAGATGACCACTGCCCTGGCTGGCCGGCCTCCATTAGACAGAGAGAGGCAGGCTGAGAGAAGCACCGAGTCTCCTGAATTGAGCCATGAAAGGCATGGAGGGGCAGCCTAGTGGACTGACTGTGAGCATGATTCAGGCTGCCTGGGTTCAAATCCCAGCTCTGTCGTTTACTGGCAAGGCACTTATCCTCTCCAAGCTTCAGTTTTCCCATGTGGAAAATGGAGCTAATCATAATAACTGCCTCACAGGGCTTCGTGAGGATGGAGTTAGTAAACAGCAAGTGCTTAGTCATTGCTGCCTCATCTTTACGTACAGTGGCGCCAAGGGGAAGTGCCTTCGTTAACTGCAGAGGAGAGAGCTCCCAGCCCGCAGGACCGAGCAGAGCAGGAGAGCAGGGGCCCAGGCCCACTGGGGGCATCCCCACTGTGCCTGGCCCAGGGACTGCGCTTAGGTCCTTGCTTGCATAGCTGGGGTGTGTGAGTGTGGTAGGAGTGTGGGATCAGAGAGACACAAAGCCCCCATCTAGTTGCCTGGCCCAGCGGCCTCATTTCTCCAGGCTGCTGACTTCCCAAGAAAGTCCTGCTTTGCCTTCCTCTCTGACTGGGGAGTCTCAGCTCCTCACATAACCCCCGGCCACATCTGGGTCAGGGTAGAAGGACCAGGCTCCCTTCCCGGAGTAGGAGCCAGGCCGTTTCTTCACCTTTAAAACAGGACAACACATTTACTACCCCAGGGCAACAGAGGGAATCAGATGAGAGGAGCTGAGAGTGTGGCCTGGAAAAGATGTCTCCGGCAAACCCCAGCCCCACTATCAGACAGAGACAAAATGGCAGAAGGGACTAAAGGAGGCTTATGGGACATTCCAAGAATTGATGGCACTTTGTAGTCTGGGTCCTAAGTCAAGGAGGATGGTGCTACCCTGAGCTGGCTTCCTCAGGAAAATAGTGTCAGTAGGTCGTGGGATTTCACACTTACCCTCCCACAGCTCCTGGCAGGCCACACACAGGGCCGTGACCTTTGGCAGAGAAGGGGGAACCTGGGGTGAGCAGAGGCCAAATGCAAGGTTCAGGATGAGTGTGCTCCCTGAAGATGCCTTTTGTGTATGTGCGAGTGTGTGTGCATGTGTGAGTGTGCATATGTGTGCGAGCAGGTGTGATGCATGAGTGTACATATATGTGCGTGTGTGCATGTGCAGACGTGTGTATGTGTGTGCATGTGTGCTTGTGCATACATATATGTGGACGAGTGCCAACCCAGTTGAACTCTGTTTCTGGCCCTCCTTCTGGCCATCCACCAAGGTGCCGTAGGCTGTGCCCAGGTGGTAGCACCTTTGAGGAGGCCAAAATGTCAGCACGCAAGGCAGTGAGACTGCAGAAAATGGCCATGGTTCCTAAGCTCCCTCGCCAGGCTCCAGAAGCACCCCTCCACTCTCATCCATCTACCCTCTGGCCTGACGCTGCTCTGGGTGGCTGTGTGCCTCCACAGGGCAGAAGTCACAGGCTGGTAGGGGCCTGAGGGGGCCCCCGACAGTGCAAATGGGTGTACCATGCTTGGCGGGGGGTCTCCCCAGGCAGTACCAGGTGCCAGAGTAGTGTGATGTTGACCCCAGCAAATGGGCAGGGCAGGAGTGGGCCCAGCCCACTGGCGAGAATGTCCAGGCCAGGCCTGGAAGACGAAGGTGCAGTGAGTGCAGTGCCCTGCGTCTGGACCCTGGTCCTCATGCTCCCTCGCCTCCCTCCCTGACAGTGGCCCTGCCTCCTGAGAAGACCGACGGGCTGGGCAGCGGAGATGAGAAGAAGATGGAGAGAGTGAGCGAACCCTGCCCAGGCTCCAAGAAGCAGCTGAAGTTTGAAGTAAGTTTCCTTTTGGTGCTGGGTCCTAGGGAGATGAGATGGGTTTTCTCAACTTTGTGCTTTGGGAGGAGGGAAGCTGAGGCCCTTCCAGACAGGAAGGCCCTTCCTCTGCATGAACAGCACCCTCTGTGGGAGGTTCTTCCTGCCACATCTGGGGCTGTCCTGGCTCAGGGCAGACCCCAGGGACTCACCACTGCCCACCTGCTCAGCCTGGTCCCAGCCCCTCCATGCGAGGTGTGCCCAGCAGCCTGGGAGAAGGCATGAGAGTAGACGAGGGAGGCAGGACTCTGGCCCTGCTGCTGCTGTCACCTCTCTGGACCTCAGTTTGCTTGGTGAAACCTTCCCTTCCAACTCTTGAGGCTGTTCTGGGGGTGCCTGCGGGGGCTCTCAGGTGGAATGGACGAGCAGGAGGCACAGGCAGGTCCCTGACGCTCTCTGGGCCTCAGTTTCCCCATGTGGGCAACACCAGGGATGTGCCTTTCTGTGGCTCTGCGCGGTGCCTGGAGGAGGGAGCAGAGGCTGTGGGCGGAGGTTGGTGAGGCTCTGAGCGTAGGGGTAGGAGGTGGGAGAGGGATGCACAGGAGAGCCTTTGGGAAGAGAAGGATCTTTGGGGTGAGAAGGGGACACTTGAGTGCCCCAGACCCAGTGGCTGCACGGTCTGTTCCCCACTGCCTGATAGTGTAGCATGCCCCTCTGCACCCAGCACAGTGCCCAGTGCTGAGAGCCAGGCCCAGGCCTGCTGCATGGAGCTTCCCCACTGCTCCGCCCTCCTTGCTCCCTTCTTCCTTCCCTATGTTTGCCTTCCTGAGACCACCAGGACATAGCTCTAGAGTCAGCAGGCCTGGGTTCAAATCCTGGCTATACACTTAGTGGCTGTGTGACTTTGGGGCAAGTTCCCTAAAGTCTCAGTGGTCTCACGTGCCTCGCCTGTAAGGTGGGGACAGTGGTGATGTCTGTTGCATTGGGCTGTTGTCAGCATCATGAGTTCATGCGCCTAAAGGTCTAAAGTGCTTAAGAGGGTGTCCCTCTTTCTAACCAGTGCTGATTGGCACTGGCTAATTGCCAGGGGACCCAGCTTAGACTGGGTGTGGTTCCTGCCGTCAAGGAGTGCACAATGTGACCAGGGGACAGTTGAGTGCCCCAGACCCAGTGGCTGCAGAGTCAGTGATGAGATGAGATCTGGGAGCCCGGGGTGGGGGTCAGGCCGAGGGGTGTGGGGTAACAGACACTTGGCATTTCCAGGCTCTCTGCGGTGCCCGGAGGAGGGAACAGCAGCTGGCGGTGGAGACTGGGGAGGTGGGTGAGGCTCTGAGTTGGGAGAGGGGTGCACAGCGGAACCTTTGAGGTGAGAAGGGTCTTTCAGGCAGAGGGAGCTGCAGGAGCAAGGGCCTGGAGGTTGAAGTGCCAGCGTGCTGTGTGGGGAGAATGAGCTGTGTCATGTGGCCTGTGCTGGATGGTGGGACATGGGGGAGACGCCCTGTGTGCAGGGTCCCAGGTGACCGATCTTACCCCGTTTCCAGTGTCGTCTCCCTGCCATGCCCCACCATCCTGCACAGGCCACACCACACAGCTTGCTCTCCCCACACAGCACACCAGCACTGCAGCCTCCAAGAGGCTTGAAGGCTCGCCTGAGGAGGACAGGTAGTGTCTAGTAGGAATTAGGGCTGCCAGCTTCTTCCTGGAGCCCAGCCCCACCCTAAGCCCACCTGGGTCCTTGTAGGGTCTTTTGGGGAGCTTGGCAAAGCCCAGGGCTAAACTCAGTGGCAGAAGGAAGACCGGGCCCAGGCATCCTGCCTCCCTGGAAGCCCAAGTGTGCTTGCTTCTGGAGGCGCAGGCTCGGGACTGAGCTGTGGTCCACAGGCAGGACTCACCTGACAAGCCCAGATGGGGTGTGGGAGAGGCCTAGGAGACACACATGTGACAGGTGGGGCAAGTGGCCACAGTTACTGAACTCATGTTTCTGAAGCTCAGACCCAAGCTGTCTTGGAAACAGGTAAATGGTATGTGTGTGTGTGTGTGTGTGTGTGTGTGTGTGTACATAGGTATGTGTGTGTAGGGTGTGCACGTATGGGGTGTACCTGTATAGGTGTGCGTGTGTATAGGTACATGTTTAGGGGTAAGCATGTGTGTGTGTGTGTGTGTAGGGGTGTGTATGTAGGCACGTGTGTCATGCTACATGAAACAGTACCTCGGGCAGCAATGAGGGCCCTTGGCAGGTGTCAAACGGGCGTGGCTGAAGCAAGGTTGGCTTTGAACTCAGCGTAGGCGCCTGAGAATTGCTGGAGGGAAATGGCTTAGAGCTGCAGTAGCCAGGGCCAGGACGCTGTGCTGGGGCTCACTCCCCTAGTGTTCGCAGATAGCTGCCTTCCCCTCTCTGGGGAGCTGAGCCTTCCTCCTGCCAGGCCAGCCGGATGCCACCTTCTTGATGGCAGAAGGAGAGGTGGAGTTTGGCATGCCATGGAACAAAATGGTCTTGTTTCCATAGAATCTTATGGATCTGAAAGGCTGTTTGTGGAGCCCTTTCCTGCTGAACAGCATGCTTCCTAGAACTGTTCGTCTGACACTCAGCCAGCCTCTGCACACAGCCCTCCGGTGACCAGCTCACCGCTTCGCGGCTCATATTCCCTAGGGTCAGACACTTCAGGTTGCTGAAAATGATAATAATGAAATGATTGTTTCATTGATTATTGATTGAAATAATTATTTCAGTGAAATAATATGTTAATCATTACAGCAAAAGTAACAGCTACTACCATTGATTGAGCTTTTCCATGTGCCAGACAGTGCTCCAAGCACAGGTGTAAATGACACCAGCATTTGCCCTCCACTTCCTGTTTCCAGTTCCCCTAAGCAGACCTGGCCACATGGCACTGGGAGCAGGCAGTGTGTAGGGGAGGCGATCCTGGAGCACAGGTGCGAGGAAGGAGGGAAGCCAGCGAAGTCTGAGTTCATCTGTGGGCTCTGCCTGCTGGAGAGCCTCCTAGGAGCCACGTAGCATGCGCTCAGATTTGTCCCAGGGAGGGGTGAGGAGGCCCGGCATTTCCACTGCCTCCTGTCCCTCCCTTGCTCCATCGCCTCTGCGCATTCCTTCCCGGGCTCTTCAGGGCTGCCCTGAGACAGAAGAGCGTACATGAGGCGGGAGGTTGGGAACTGTCCCCACCACAGGTGCAGGGAAACAGCTGGGCTGAGGGCATGTGGATGGGGCATTTAATCTTCCCAGCAACTTCGTGGGAGAGAGGCTACCATTTTCCATAATGTATACAAAGAGAAACTGAGGCACAGCAGAGGGCAGTGACATGCCCAGGGTCACACAGCTGTGGAGGGCCCTGCAGGGGCTGGGGCCTGGGGCTGACTGACACCCGAGCTCCTCATGCTCATGCTGTCCTACCCCGGCATGCTGCTGGGGCTCCCAAGTTGATGCTCCCTTGCCTTCTAGTTGCTTGTTGCCCTTGGTCCAAGTTCAGCTTTTCTGAGACCACAGCGCCTCTTCTCAGACCCCCTGTGTTTCCTTTGTCTTTCAAGACCCACAGACCACCAGGCACCCCTGCAGGCATCCCTCCCTAGGCCAAACCTCCCCTGCCCGGGCTCTGGCTACCCTCCTGGGCCAGTTCTGTCTTGGCCAAGGTGCTCCCTGTCCCCTCAAGGTCTGGGGAGGGCAGAGGACAGGTGGCCACCCCTTGGCCTGGCCTCTAGGCCCAGGCTTCCACCACCCAGTCAGTGTTGCCACAGATAGGGGACCAGCCCCACCCATCTCTCTGCATCCAGGAGCTCCAGTGCGATGTGTCTGTGGAGGAGGACAGCCGGCAGGAGTGGACCTTCACCCTGTACGACTTTGACAACAACGGCAAGGTCACCCGAGAGGTGAGTGCACCTGCCTGGCCTCTTGCTGTGCATCATGCCCGCAGGCACAGGGCCTGGGCACAGCACCCTGCCACTGCCACTTCTCACCCCTGCATCGGTCCTGCCCCTCAGGGAAAGCTGTAATAGCTGGGGAGTTGCTGGGAGCTCCTGCGAGGTCTGGAGGAGCATCCCAGAGCTGCTGGCAAGTGGGAAGAGGACAGGGAGGGAGGGCAGCTCCCCTGCTCTCAGCCCAGGCACTGCCTCTCAGTGTCCTCTCTTCCCACTTGCCAGCAGCTCTGGGATGCTCCTCCAGATCTCGCAGGAGCTCTGTGGGTAGTGCAGGAGAAGTTCATCTTTATGCTGCCAGATGTGAGTTCTGGGTTAACAAGGTCACCTCCTTCTCAGGCTGTGGTTTAGGAGCTGTTCCAACAGGTTGGAGGAGGAAGTTGTGACTTTTAAGCACCCAGGACTCTTTGACATGTAAGTGACAGAATACATGCTCCAACTGCTGTATTTAAAAAAAAAAAAAAAAAAAGGAATACAATACATTGGGTCATGTAACTGAAATTTGGTCCAGGGTCTGACTTCATGGATGGCTTGACCCAGAGGCTCGGTGGCTTCAGGACAAGGTTTTCATCACTGCTCTGTTTCCTCAGTCTATTTCCTCTGTTCCTCAGCTTTATTTCCCTTCTTGTGAGGCAGACTCTCCCCTTGGCAGTAGCAAGATGATTGATGACAGCTTCAACCTGCATTGTCCTTCGCTGCCTTGGTAATGAGAGGAAGGGAGAGAGTTTCCAAGGAAGGTGGCCCAGCCTGGCCCTGGAGAAAGTGTTCACTGGGTCATGTCTTCCTCCCACCGAGGAGCCAGGGAGTGGTTTTGAGTGGAGGGAGGACTGGTCTGGTGTTTCCCTGGTCTATTTTTAGCCCTGACGCCACTCCTCAAATTTGGCTGTAAATACGATTCCCTTCGACGCCTTCTGAGTGCCAGGGCGGATGGGCTCCCACCTCACCGCATCTGCAGCCCAGAGCTGGGGTGTGAGCCAGCTTTCCAATCAGAAAGAAGACCTGCTCCTCCTTCAGGCGTTCGTTCATGCAGGAAATAGCACACCGATTCCTGCGTGTCTGGCCCTGTGTAGTCAGTGAGGTTGATTTTCAAGCTAGAATTGCCAGAGCACATAGGCTCTGAGACCCTCGGTCTGCTGGGACCACCTCCACCCTGATTAGACACCAGGGCCCCAGGTCCTCTAAGGTATCAGAAGTCTGGGGGATGAAGTGAGTGTCCCTCAGCCACCTCATCTGTATAATGAAGCCTCCTTCATGGGCTGCCCAAGATAGAGAGAGTGAGCAAACAGGTCCTTATGAAGAAGCCAGAGGGAAGGACAGGAGGAACAAGGAGAGCCCTCTGTGGGCCTCGTTGGAAGAGGTGGGGTCACTGAGCAAGCCAGCTAGGGAGTGCCTAGAGCCTGGGTCTCAAACTTGTGGCCCCCACAATTTCAGTCTGGCCCCCAGATGTTCTGGTCTGGTCCCCCAAAGGGTTTTGGTAAAAATCAGTTGTCAATATCAGTGATTCTGAAGATTTAACTGAAGATCCTGGATTTCTGGCTTTTCTGTGTGACCCCCTCCCACCTGCATTGTCAGAGGACAAGCCGCCACGCCTCCCAGGATAGGGTCAGATAGGGTCAGCGCCTCTGTTGGCCCCCACTACTCTGGGCCGCCCACCTACATGCCTGCCTGTTTGGGGCTGCGCTGGGGTTGCCTCAGCTGCTTCAGCCTGCAGGACTTAACAGGCAGGAGGTGAAGGATTGCTGGGCAGGTAACTGGCCACGGATGCGTCTGCTTCATAGAGAAAAAATGTCTTCTCCAGAGGTTTCCAATGCCAATTAAAGCAGGACGTTGCCCCCCTCCCCAACACCAGACAAGTGACCGCAGCAGATACCCAGACAGAAAAGGCCTAGTGAGGGGAATCTGTGCCCTCCAGCCCCAATCAGAAGGGTTTTGAGACACCCAGGGAACATTGTGTGGACACCCCATTCTGGTTGAGGGTTACCTGAGGCTCAGAGAGATGAGATTTGGTCAAGTTCTCACAGATTAGTTTATCTTTTAGGGACGGTCTCAGCCAGCTCAAGCTGCCATAACAAAATACCACAGACTGGGTGGCTTAGCAGAAATTTATTCCTCACAGTTCTGGAGGCTGAAAGTCCAAGACTGAGGTGCCACCTACTTCAGCTCCTGGTGAGGACTCACTTCCTGGCTTGCAGACGGCCGTCTTCTCACTGTGTCCTCACGTGGTGGAGAGACCTCTTCTGGTGTCTCTTCCTTTTTTCCTAAAAAGAGATGGGATCTGGCACTGTCGCTCAGGCTGGAGTGCAATGGTGTGCTCACGGCTCACTACAGCCTCAAACTCCTAGGCTCAAGTGATCCTCCCACCTCAGCCTCCCAAGTAGCTGGGACTACAGGTGTGCACCACCACACATGGCTATTTTTTTTTTTTTAATTTTTGGTAAAGAATGTTATGTTGCCCAGGCTGGTCTTGAACTTCTGGGCTGAAGTGATCCTCCCACTTTGGCCTCCCAAAGTGCTGGGATTCCAGGTGTGAGCCATATCCCAGCTCTCCTCTTCTTCTAAGGGCCCTGATCTCCTATCATGGTCCTGCCTTCATGACCTCGTTTAACCTTAGTTATCTCCTTACTCCAAATACAATCACATTGGGGGTTAGGGCTTCAACCTGTGGATTTGCAAGTGAGTGGGGAGCCACAATTCAGTCCATAGCAGGGACACGTCTCCCTTTCCAGTTTTCATTTCAAACCCGAAGCGGATGCTCTTGATGCTCCCACCCCATTTTCCCTGGGCCCACCTTGAAGTTCACCTGCTACCATGGTGGACGGTGCCCACTGTAAGAACTTCCTCAGGTACAGGGAGCTGGCTTGGCCCTTGCAGGGAAACCCAAAAGCACAAGGGAGGGTGGGGCACAGTGGCTCATGGCTCATACCTGTAATCCCAGCACTTAGGGAGACTGAGGTCGGAGGATCGCTTGAGACTGGGAGTTCTAGGCTGCAGTGAGCCATGATCACACCCCTGCACTCCAGCCTGGGTGACAGAGTGAGACCCCATCTCAAACAAACAAACAAAAATCCAAAGTACAGGGAATGTAGCATCCTCGGGGAGCTCTCAGGCAGTGAGGAATGAGAGTCCATTTCTAAACCCTCCCTCTATCTCGATGAGGCTGTTCCAAGGTGGCCTCCACACTCCCTCCAGGGCCCCAGTGTGACTGAGCCCCAGTTGCCCCTGGCTGTAACCTGTTCTTTTCCTTTTCTCTTATGGGATCTTCCTCTTCTCTCTCCCTGCTCCCTCACTTCTGCTTCCTAGGATCTCTTCCCAAATGAACCTCAGACATCCAGGTTTCTGCCTTAGGCTCTGCTTTGGGGCAGCCAGAGGGGTTCAGGCCTGCAGCATCCACCGGGCCCTCTGGTTTCTATTTTCAAGGCCCCGTGACTGAAACCCCACATGGGTCTCCGCTTCCCTCCCATTCAGGACATCACCAGCTTGCTGCACACCATCTATGAGGTGGTGGACTCCTCTGTCAACCACTCCCCGACATCCAGCAAGATGCTGCGGGTAAAGCTCACTGTGGCCCCCGAGGGCAGCCAGAGCAAGAGGAGCATCCTTGTCAATCAGGCCGGTGAGGGCTGCAGGGCTGAGCCTGGGAAACAGCGTCCTCCTATCTCTTGGGAAGGACCAGAGCCTTCCTGGGAGGGCTGGAAGGGAACCTGTGGGCTTTCTGGGGCAGCTGCTTTGTGGACAGGTGGGGTTCAAATGGGTCCTTGAAGGGGTAGGAGGAAGGGTGGGAAGGGGAGGGAAGGGATTCTGGGTGAGAGGCCTCACATAGGCAGAGCCATGCTGCTGGTATAAAGGCTGGTGTTGTGGGCAGCACGGCGTCTGCAAGCCTTGAGGCCAGCTAGAAGGAGGTGAGGCTGGAGGGGGAGTCTGGGGGAGGAGGTGAGGCTAGATGGGGACGTGTCCAGGGCAGGTAGCCTTGAGACCCCTTTACTTAGCCCCAGCTCAGGGAACCCTCCCACAGTGACCTTGCAAAGCAGCTGCACGCCAGGCAGCCCTGGGGAGGGTGGGAGCAGGTGGCTTACCTGGTGTCTCCTGTGCTTCTCGGACCGGACTCAGACCTGCAGAGCACAAGGCCCCGAGCAGAGACCAAGCCCACTGAGGAGCTGCGGAGCTGGGAGAAGAAGCAGCGAGCCCCGCTCAGGTATGTGGGCATGGTGCACATAAGCATATGTTGAACACCAGCTGTATACCTGCATCTGAAGGATTCAGAGCAAGAAGTTTTGCTCTGGTCTGTGTTCTCTTCAGGGAGCCAACGCTTTTGATGCACAGACTCATAAATCAAATGAAAATATTAACAAATAACTACATGTAGTCCACATCCTTTTATGGAACACATCGTGGGCAGACAAGACTGGAGTCCAGCATTTTTGGGGCTTTGGAAAGGTGCTCTCAGCAGTGCATCAGGCTCTGACGCATTGCTGTTTCTACTGGGAGATGATTGGATGTTCACACTAAGTGAGATAGAGACCGTAAACACCTTCCCATCCCTTTAGGGTGGGCCTGGCTGCCACGTGGGTTATGAAAAATCTTGTTTTTCAGGCTTTTTGGATTTCAGAATGGTGGATAAGGAATTATGAGGCTGTAGTTAATTTTCACCTGTTATTTCTTCAGCTGCAAGGGAGGAAGGGAGGAAAGGAAAGAGAGATTGTTTAAAGAAAGGGATTGAGTAAACAACAGTAACATGGCAGGCGTGAGGCTGTGTTAACCTGTAGTGTAAATGGTAAGGGAATGACCGGAGCTGGATTAGTACTCGCTTAGGGGAAAGAAAAAACAGTTCAAGCAGGGTCACAGCTAGGTGTGGGGACAGGGCTGCGAATCAGAGGGACCCAGGCTGGCTAGAGATCCTGGGGGAAGGTGGTACTGTGTTGTGTGGGAAGGAAGCCAGGACGGGAGCAGATCAAAGAGGTCTTTGGAGGAGAGGACCAGGGAGCCCCGAGCCCTGCAGGAGAAAAAGAAAGCCTCTGGCAGCATTTCTCCCCACCCCTCCATACACACTGTGTTAGTCACAAGTGTGTGTGCACACACACACTCATACACTGGTGAGGCCCATCCTGGGCCGTAGGGCTGGTCATGGGGTCTGCCACCCACAACTCCAACAGTTTAATGGGCTTCTGCTGCCTGTACCCCCTGGGGAACCAGAGCAGGGGTTAGGCTACCTACCTGCAGTGGGCACATACGGCTTGAAGCCTGGCACTGGGGCATTCTTAGAAGTTGGCCAATAATCTCTCACTTTTGCTTTGAACCTGTTCAGAGCAAACTCCCGTGCACTCTTCCCAGAAGCTGTGGGGAGGTCTGTCCGTGGGCTGTGGTCTGTGGTCTGTCTCTCCATCCGCAGGGAAGCAAATGGAGGCCAGCTTGTAGAGAGGGCTGTTCCTCCCCACCCTCTCCAAAGGCCAAGAAGAAAATGAATGAATGGTCCAGAGTTCGTTCTGGGGGCTTCCCAGTAGCCTGTGCACTTGCCCCCACCTGGTGGTCGGTGTCACCCCACTCACTTTCCTCCCCTGCCGTAGGTTCCAGGGTGACAGCCGCCTGGAGCAGTCTGGCTGCTACCACCATTGCGTAGATGAGAACATCGAGAGGAGAAACCACTACTTAGATCTCGCCGGGATAGAAAACTACACGTCCCAGTTTGGGCCTGGTAAGGGACTCGAGCACCCTGCGCTGGGCGATGAGGGCAGGGCGTGGCTGGACGGGCCATGCGGGCCATGCGGGTGGTGTTCACTGCTACCCCAGGCTTCAGGAAGACAGCTATTATGGGACAGGTCAAAGACTCTTGGAGAAAGTGACATTAAAAACGGTTTCAAAATTAAAGTAATACATGCACGAAATTGAACAAAATCAAATAGTATCTAAGGACTTAGCACCCAATGACAAACAACAGTTCCGTGCCCCAACCCAGCCCATTCAAGCCCTGTTCCCTGGGCAACCACTTTGACCCCTCCTGGCTGTTTCTTCCAGCGAGAACCTCGGTTTCCCTAGGTACAGTGCTGCTGTGTCTTTATCAGCCTTGACCTATGTTGACCTCTTGCTCAATTTCACTCCCACAACTCCCTTCTCCCCTTTCTCTTCATATGTTTAATTCCTCTAGAAGTTACTTCTGTATGTTTTTAGCAATATACTTAGAGTTCTTTCTTGCCCCAGTGACCTTAGACGGTTTTTGGGGTCTCTGCTGCCATCTCTCTTTCTCGGCTCCCTCTCGGAGAGTATTTTTTAAGACCTACCGAAGAACCAGTTCTTCCCACTTAGCAGATGGGAAAGTTCCATTTCAGAGAGTTTTCCTGCAAGGCAGTGAGGGGCAGTCGGGCATTGGGAGGTAGCTCTGGTCTTGGAGAACTGGGGGTGGGGGTGATGTCTGGGGTACAGCACAAGCCCCAGCACACAGTAGGTGCTCATTAAATGTCTGTTGAATTGGTTCCTAGGCTCCCCTTCCGTGGCCCAGAAGTCAGAACTGCCCCCCCGCACCTCCAATCCCACTCGGTCTCGCTCCCATGAGCCGGAAGCCATCCACGTCCCACACCGAAAGCCCCAAGGCGTGGACCCGGGCTCCTTCCACTTCCTTGACACCCCAATCGCCAAGGTCTCAGAGCTCCAGCAACGGCTCCGGGGCACCCAGGACGGGAGCAAGCACTTTGTGAGGTCCCCCAAGGTCCAGGGCAAGAGCGTGGGTGTGGGCCACGTGGCCAGAGGGGCAAGAAACAAGCCCCCTCTGGGACCCGCCTTCCCTGCGGTGTCCCCCTCCGCCCACCTGGCCGCCAGCCCGGCCCTCCTCCCCTCCCTAGCCCCCCTCGGGCACAAGAAGCACAAGCACCGAGCCAAGGAGAGCCAGCAGGGCTGCCGGGGCCTACAGGCACCGCTGGCCTCGGGTGGCCCCATCCTGGGGCGGGAGCACCTGCGGGAGCTGCCCGCCGTGGTGGTATATGAGAGCCAGGCCGGGCAGCCGGTCCAGAGACATGAGCACCACCACCACCACGAACATCACCACCATTACCACCACTTCTACCAGACATAGAGCCCCTCCCCAGGGCCCCACCCTGCCGTATGAAGGACCCCACCCCCGACACCCCAAGGCATTATTATTCTATTAATTATTGTTATTATGACGATTATTGTTATTAATAATTATTGTTACTCCACTAATATTTAGCTAGCCTTCATGTAGAAGATCTATGGAAACACAGAACTAAACTTTTATTTATATGTTGTGGGGACTGCATAACTAGCCCAGGAAATGACTCTGGTTTGGAGTGGCCTGTAATGGACAGAGGCTCCCTGGAGGCTCAGGAGCTGCAGCATCTGTGCGGATCAGCCCACACCCTTCCCAGAGCCGGGGAGCCCTCAGCCCCAACTCTGCCCCACCCCAGCCTCTTCCAGGAGAGCACCCTTACCTGGCCCAGCTTCCAGAGACCCTTGAAATCTCCGAGAAGATAAACAGCTGCTACCTCTTAGTATTATTCTGATTTTATTTTGCCCTTAACTGATTGTAATGTGCTACAAGGGATTTCAGTGGACTGCAGAGTGCGAACGTCTTGCTGTTGTGTTTTTATGTCCCAACCTAGAAACCTTAGCTGTCTTTTCTGGAGTTGTCTTTCATGCTTTTCCAGTGGGATCAAGCCCTTTTCCCCAAAGCAGTCCCATCTCTTCTGCCATGCACAACATGAAAATCCACTTCTCTTCCTTCTCCTCCTTCTCTCTCCTTTACAGCGATACATACACATATTTAAGGACTATCCCTGAGACCATCCTTCTCATTTTGGAAACTGCTAGGGAGGGAACCAACCACTTAAACAAGTGTCGTTTTCCAAGATCCGGGCAATTGTGTGCTGTTGGTTGTGGGGGAGGATGTGGCAGATATATACGTACCTACACAATTCTCTAACAGCGCTTTCTGTATCTATAGATAGATGCCATCTGTCCATTTCTATGTATCTTTCTATAAATATACACTCTCAGGTATCTTTTCTGGTGTGTAGAAATCAGTGGTTTGCTTCTCTGGATGCTTCTGGAACCCAGATGTGACCCTGCTTGTCTCCTTTTGGGGCTGGATGGCTCAGATGCTTTCATCAGAGGTCCCTTCTCGGGTTTGGGGGTCTGATGGATTTTGGAGAAAACTGCTGGGGTACAGAAGCTTGGAGGGAAAAGGGGACCATGACCAGAGTTGGGACCCTGGGGCAACATCCTCTGCAGAGAAGGATTTTGTCTGGCCAGAGCCTGGAGAAACCTGAAAAAGAACCAATCAGCTAGCCAGCGTCTCAGAGAAAAGCAGATTACACACTCAAATTGGGTAAGTTGAGCAGAGTTTAATAAAGGCAATATTTACGAAGTGTGGGCTAAGCCTCCCACGAGAATGCAGAACCCTGGGGCTGGCAGTGTGGAGCGCTACGCCCACCCCTGGGCCTGAGTGAGGAAGGAGTTATCTTTAGCAGACAGAGGACTGCTGGAGGAGTGAGAGGGGCACCTGTAGGAGCTATGACCTTTGCTCAAAGGATGCAGCCAGTCATGGGGATCCTCCAGGGAAATTAATATCCTGACCCTGCTTTCCTGCCCCTGCCTCAATCCATTGACTGAGGCCGCTGGAAGCCACCGGGCCGAGGGAGCTTGTTGATGTGGGTCACACGGGTATGTTCCCAGGTCAGAGAGGAGAGTCTACAGTGAATCTAGAGGGACACAAGAGGGAGAAGCAACTCCAGCTACCTTCCTTTCTGCCGTTTTAGCTCCCAGCTGGCATCCTCTTTTCCAGAGCCTCGAGTTTGGGTTTAATGTAGTTAGTAAGGAGTTACTTCCAAAGATAGTGGGCTTAGTTGTTACCATATTATTAATTTTATTAATGACTGATGTGCCTGGGATTGGATTAATACATTAATCCTTAGGACAGCCCCATGAGGCAGCTTGGTGGCAGCTCAGGGAGCATGTCTAAGGCTCAGAAGTTCGTAACTCCCTTGAGGCCACACACAGGGCAGAGCTGGGATTCTGGTCTCCCACTCGATCCCTTCGCCACTGGTGCAGAGCTTAATCATGGCCATGGGCTGCCCTTGTTTTGGGTTGTGGGTTGTGGGTTTCTGTCAGTGAGAAGTCGACTCAATCCAAAGTGAATGAAACCAAGTTGGAAGGCAGGGAGGGAACTGGCTTTGAGATGACAGAGTCCAGGATGTGAACTCAGCTGAGACTGGTTCTTGTCCCTCCCTCTTGTCCCTCGGATTGATACTGGTACTCAACTACATGCTTTGTCAGGGAGCCCTGACTGTTGGCCTTCTGGGTCCGCTAACCATAAGGAAAAGGACCTTCCATTAGTGTAAAGCCCAAGGCAGGATTCTGATTGGCTGGGCTTAGATCTGGTGCCCATAGCTGGACCAATCATGACATCCCAGCTGGGGTCACATGGCCAACCTGCCCGCAAGGGGGTGGGGGTCTATACCGGAAGACAGGAGGGGAGGGGTGCAGACCGGACAGGAAGTAATGGCGCCCCAGGTTCCGAATTGCTGCAACCCTGGAGGCCAGCCGGGAGTTGAAACTACTGGTTTTAGAGCAGTTCCTCTGCCTCCCTAAGCTCCACAACTATCAGGATTCTGTTACTTCTTGGTAACTGGGACTTTCCCAGCTTTAAAAACATTATTTAAAAAAATAGTAACGTGCACATGTAAAAGATTCAAATAGTACATACACAAGGTACACAGTAAAAAGTAAACTTCCCTCCATCCCAGGCCCGCCAGCATCCCTGATGCCAACTTTCTGGGTGTGGCCTAGGGCCCCTCAGTGTAGTGTAGGCGTTGTGAGCACAGACTTTGGTGCCAGCTTGCTGGATTCGAATCCTGACCACTGGGTACCGAGGACTGGGTGTGCTTAAGGCCTCTTTGTAGCTCTGTGCTTCAACTGAAATATTGTGCCTCAGTTTTTCCTTTATAAAGGCGGGGATCGTGAGAGTACCTGGCCCATGTGAGCACTATGAAAGTGTTAGCTGTTCTTTACCAGAATAAATGCATTTCTATATCTCCCCATATGCATTTTGTTAATTTTTAAAGTATTTCAAACACAAAGTTTGAAACAGAAAATTGTGAAACAGTAACTGTGAACTCACCACCCAGAATTTACAAATGCTGACATTTTGCAATATTTATTTCGGATCTATTTTTAAGGGGGTGGGGGGCGGGGAACCCTGCAGTTACTGCTTAATCCTCTTCTCACCCCACCCTTTTATTTTTACACAAGGAGCATAGTGTTCATACTTATGCTATTTTTTTTCAGTAACTGAATATATTTGGAGATCTCCCTCCCTAGATCATAGAGCTCTGCCCTCTACTCTCTAACAGCTGCTCAGCCTTCTGTGCTAGAGGTGCTGTCACCAGCTTGCCCCATCCCCTCCTGGTGGTCATAAGGGTCATCTCTCATCCCAGGCTCTGGCGAACACTGTGCTGAGAGTCCTTGCACACAGCTCTCCCAGTGCCCACGGGCAGGAGACAGGCGACAGAAAGTGTCCACATGGAACTGCAGAGTTCAAGAGCAAGTGTGATTTCCATTTTGATGTGATTGTAAATGACCTCTAAAAGAGGTGATACTGGCCGGGCACAGTGGCTCACGCCTGTAATCCCAACAGTTTGGGAGGCCGAACTGGGTGGATCACCTGAGGTCAGGAGTTCAAGGCCAGCCTGGGCAACATGGTGACACCCCATCTCTACTAAAAGTACAAAAAATTAGCTGGGCTTGGTGGTGCATGCCTGTAATCTCAGCTACTCGGGAGGCTGAGGCACGAGAATTGCTTGAACCTGGGAGGCAGAGATTGCAGTGAGCTAAGATTGTACCACTGCACTCCAGCCTGGGTGACAGAGTGAGACTCCATCTCAAATAAATAAATAAAGAGGTTATACTGAATAATGAGGAATCAGAGGAAGAAGAAAGAGAGAGGGAGGAAGGTTGGAAGGAAGGAAAGAGGGAAAACTAGAAGGGGAAACCGTGGCTGCTGGTGAGGTTTTGAGCACATTTTCCTGCAGGCTGGTATGGGTGAGAGGTTTGGTCTTGTTTGTAAATCTTCTGAAGGCCATTCCAGAGGATCAGTTGCCACTGCCCCATCCCCTGAGCTCTGAGCATGGGGGTTCCCCTGGGGAGACTCCTGGCGAGAGGATGCCAATTTCTGCTGATCTGTCACTGGGTACCGAGGACTGGGTGTGTTTAAGGCAGACAGCCAGGTGAGGATCCCAGCCACTGGGGCCTGCTGTCATCTCCTGGGAGTGCCCGGGGGCCAGGAGCCTAGGGGACTCTTGCACTTCACGTCCAGCCGTGCTAATTACACTTTTTGGCAGAGGAAACAGCGAGGAGCAGTTTCTTTCACTCCTCCAGCCCTGTTTTCTGTGTTTAGACATTAAATCATTACTGGGCTAGAGGGAAGGCAGCCTCCAAAGTGTGGCAGGAGGAGGGGAAGGCTGCCTGCACCTTGGTGTGTCTGTCAGATGCCAGCACTAATAACCTGGCTTCTTTGAGGCCTGTCAGTGCTCTCAGGAATGAAAGGGGACCCCTGAGAGGTGCTTGGTGCCAGCAGGCTGTGAACGCCCTCCACCCACCACCCTCCCCTCCTCCTTAAAGATGATGCTGCCTGCCACACAGCAGACACCTGGTCACTGCACACCTGAAAGACCCCAACGCAGCCTTGCCCCTCGTCCAGCCACGCCCCAGCACCCGCCCTCCTGGCCCCTGCCTCGGCCTCCCCAGACCAGCTGCACCCAGCCCCCAACACACACCCCTTCTCCAGATGTGTGCAGGGCCTCGTTTTGCAGAGCAAAGACAGATGTTTCAGCCACATGCTTTATTAATTCCTAAAACCTGTGCTCGGGACACCTTTCCGCGGTCATGAAAAGTTTGATCACTTGCCACAGTCAGGACCTTTGTGTGGGGCTCTGATCTAGTGTTCGGTCTCATCATCTCCCAAACCAGCAGTCCTTGGGCTCACACCCCAAATGATTTTCCTAATTTATGTATTTCCCTACAAAGGGCTTTCTATACCTAGCATCTGCCTCCAGCATGAGAAGGGGAAATAGGTGAGACTCATTTGCCAGTAGCAGATGACGACTCTTGGGAGGATATGGCAGAGCCTGGCAGAGACTCCCTGTCTCCGGCTGACCAGCCAATGGGATTCCTCTTCTCTCCACTGTCTCCACAAAGTAGAAGAATCCTGGTACATTTAGCCCATGAGCCTGGCACAGATCCCTATCTAGACATGAGGCCCTTTAGACGTGACTTTGGCATTGACCAGCCTGTTGGCGGTGGCTCAGGGAGGCAGAGGGGATGCTCACACCAGCAGTTCTCATCCCCTGAATGCTTCGGATCACCTGGGGAGATTTCACAGAATACTGGTGCAGGGGTCCCACCTCTGATGATGCTGAGTGGTGGGTCTGGGATGTGGCCCAGGCATCAAGATGTTTGCTTTTTCCCCGAAATGACCTCAGAGGGCCCAATTTGAGGGAAATACCTAACGTCAGGGGTCGTAAGAATCCCCCAGGGAGCATGTGAAATGCAGATACCAGGCCCACCCGCAGAGATGAGCTGAGGTGGGTCAGAGGTGAGGCGCAGGGATCAGTTTTTTTCACAAGCTTCGCACCTCCAGGAAATGGTGGTGTGGTTGGACCCACAGACCACAGTCTGAGAGTCCCGTTGCCTGTGCCTTGGCGCATGCGGGGTGGAATCCCAGTGGCCCTGCCTTGAGGAGGATGTGCATTAACGTGGTAGGGGAGGCAGAGACAGCTCCACCTGCCCCCTGCCCCACCGGGGACCTCCAAAAACTTCCTGGATGTTAGAGCAAGCAGCGCAGAGGATGAGGCTGGTGGATTTAGTAAGAGCCGTCTGTGTTTGGGCTGAGTTCTTTCTCTAGTTGCCCTGTCATCTGGCCTCTGGAAAACCCAGCTCTCCTCCTTTATCATAAGATTACAGGTTGCAAAAGACAGTCACATTTAGTGAGATCCCTAAGGTCCTCCAA